TCAGTCCATTGTTCATGATGATCTCCGACGGTTACGTCGGCAAGCGAGCCTCCGCCACTGCCAAAGCAGCGTGGGCTCCGCAGGAGGGTGCAAATTTCAAACCAAAATTTAAACGCCTACAACCGCGAATGCACATGATACAGGATTTCAGAAGGCTGAAGGAAATCCTGCATCTAACAAATGCCATAACATGAGAGTAATGCTCACCCCTCTTCTCTGCCAACAGATGAGCAATTCGTTTGTACAGTGCTGTTGATGCTGGACCCATTCCGCCACTGGCTGACATGACCGCCGGAACAAAGGAGGCATGCTCAACCTGCCTCACCCGCTCCTCATAGTGCCTTCTCTTTTCGTTTTCATGTCGCTGATACACAATAGTATGTGGTGCAGATCGATTTAAGCGTGAGTGAGGATTAAAAACCCGTATATCAATAAGTGTACGCTCAAAACGACTGCCCCACAAACCATTGGCAGCGACATCCAACCGGGCACGGTCTTCCACATTTGCGGTCCGGTAGCGAAGACGCTCCCCCGTCAGCGGTTGCAGCAAGGGCTCGATGGACACACTGGTGCACACCTCGTCCAGCAGCCGGGCCGTGACGTCCCGAATACCATTGTGTCTAATGGAGGGAAACCCTCCATAGGGGCACGACAAGGAATGCGCGACAGTTGCCTCTTGGCCGCAAGAGCAGTGTGACGGTACCCTGGCCGGTGTCCATCCGTAACGGAGGCAGAGTCCGTCCCAATACTCTCCCTTTGTTAAATTAAATTGATATTTCTTAAGTGAACGGCACGTCAGCCAGCTCGACGACCCTTTCCTCTTCGCGACGTCTATGACATGTCGTAGCGACTCCGACGCACTGCCCGATATCGCGTCGAATTCCAGTTTCTGATGACGTCGAGAAGATGCCTTGGCGTCTCTCTTGGCCGATCTGATTGTGGTAATGAAGTAGCCATATCAGAAGTCCCCTGTTCCCAGCAATTTCTTCAAAGCACCTCATTCAACCCTTGGAAAGCACGAACATCTTGCTCCCGAGTTCTTCACGATCATGGTCTCATGGACATGGTGGAAGATAACTTCAGGGACACTCGATCAGAAATCCAGAGGAACAAGGATATAAAGACCAGTGTTGCTTCAACCACAACTATGAGAAACCCATGTTTGGATTCCTTGACATCGGCAATGGACAAGGATCAAATTTCGCAAGGTAAAAGCACACCAAGTGTTAACTGCTATCCCGAACCCGTTTCAGATCACTACACTGACTACGAGGAAGTAGCGTTTCACTCTGAATATGGCAAAAACTACAGCAAATCTGCCGATATGAACGTTCACGCAGGTCTTGTGCACAACTTCGAACATTTTCCAGTGTCTTCTCCAGTGGCTAGCCTACCCGCGGATTCCGATCATCACGATCTTGAAATAAACAACACTCATCACACGTCTGAACCTTTTTCTGAGAAAGTTTGTCAACTTCAATCTGACCTTTTCCAACCAGAAAATACACTCTGCGAAGAAACCGGAAAGTCCCTTGATCGCCAGCCCGCTAGGCTTGATCGCGGACATTTACATCCTGGAGAAACGCAATATAAATGTAAGCATTGTGATAAATTATTTTCGACTCAATCTTGTCTAACTTCTCATGAATGTACACATCCAGAAGAGAAATCTTTCAAGTGTAAAGTGTGTGATAAAAATTTCACTTCAAGATCTAATCTTACCAGTCATGCACGACTACACTCAGGACACGCGTTTCCGTGCAAGTACTGCGCAAAGCCATTCAGAGACAAATGCAGCTTACACCTTCATGAACGTAGCCATACTGGAGAGAGACCATATAAGTGTATATCGTGCGATAAATCATTCACGGCGAAAGCAAATCTCACGGTGCATCGACGCATCCATACTGGAGAGAGACCATACAAGTGTAAAGTGTGTGGCAAAGCTTTCGGGGCAATGTCAACTTTCATACGTCATCAACGAATCCATACTGGAGAGAGGCCATACAAGTGTAACTTGTGTGACAAGACATTCTTGACGAAATCAAATCTCACAGTGCATCAACGCATCCATACTGGAGAGAAACCATTTTCGTGTAAGGAATGTGGAAAGTCTTTCACCACGAAATCCGGCCGAACACGTCATGAGCGAATCCATCCCGAGAGAACCTGATCCAGTGTCAGCGATCGTGACGAGTCTTTCAATGTGAAACAAAACATGGAAGACTATGCAAATACAAACACAGCCCGTTTTGAACCGCATGTAGCGGAAATGTCGTTTACAATCCAATCCGATAGCAAAAAGGTCACTTTTTACATGTGCAACAACCAAAACATTATCATTGTCATTGTATTCCTTGCTTCCATTTCAGTTCTACCATAGACGGAACTTTTTTTCTATATTTGCCATGCATTAAAAGGCTCAATTGCGCTACACATGTCTGTATGGTTCTTTTTTGACAAATCAGTCCTGCTATATATCGCTTATCCCATTTCTGGGGCACGCATGCCGGGTACGGATCTTTTCGCTTCAAGAGGCGCTGTGCTGCTTTCAAGTTCGCACATGCTGAAACAATATTATGCATGTATGTACGAATGATCCCAAGTGTCATCTTGTATAGTCATGTTTTACTGCTTATCAAAACTCTTACTGTCCATTTGTTGGATGAAAATGTGTAAACGGGAATTATCACTGTCAATACCAGAACTCAAACCTGGTAAACCAGATTATGACCAGCAAATTCCTTTCTTTTCTCACCTATTGTTGAACATGAATGTGGTATCAAGCAATGCACTAAAACTACGAGATGGGGTAGCGGTCATCAAAGTAGCTACCGTCCAACGTTTTCTGCTGACTTCGGAACTCTCGCTTCCTGTGATTCCCACACAGGCTGGTGGTTCGCAGCCCTCACTGTAACTCACACACTTCCCAAGAGATGTAGATAGCGGTTAGGCCCAACAAACAAAGCATTCATTCTTTTGAGAACACGGTGCAAAGGGGAAAACGTTGAAGACAATATTGACTGTCACCACCAGGATTCGAACCAGGCACCTTTTCTTTTGTCCTGCGATGCCCTATTTGATACCATAATTATTACGTAAACATGTCTTACTCGACTGCATCAGACCAGTGTGAGGTTGACAAGCTGACTACTAGATTCACTTTAGGATGTACAGCCAATGTGCTGAATATGTCAACTACAATAGAGAAACGGGTATCAACTTTGTGATGCTTACCATAGCGGGACAAAGCCAGGTCGTCCTAACTCAGGGTTTCTCGCTCTAGAACGAGTTGCATAATCATTATGCATATATGGTTCAATCATAAGGTACCCAAAATGAGTATAGTAATAACTATGGGGCAAGGAAGTAGACTTTTTTCCATTTGTCTACTCAGAATAATGAAGTATATTTGAGCTCGTTCGTCACAATTAAGACAGAATAACAGTATGATATATTTCCATGAGGAGCTGATATTCCCTTCTGCATAATTGGGTGTATTTCATTCCGTGCAAGGACACTGTGAGTGACGAAATTAGCAGTCATGGCGTTGCGTCCGTTTTTAATATAAATATAATTATCTCGTTTCTTTAACTGTAATGTGAGGTAAACGAGAATCTCGTCTAAAGTCCTGAGCTTCGATTCGGTGAGGCACATTCGTGACTGGTATTTCGAAGACAAGTGCTCACAGATCTAGGGGTGCACAACCCTCAGCTCTTACTTGAGTGACTGGATTGTTTACATAGAGTCATAGTGCCTACTCCTACCAATGTTCTGTGCACTGAAGTGTAGCTGAATCCGAGACAGTACATGAACGCATCCATACCCGAGATACACAATTTCAGTGGAAGGAATGTTGAAAGTCTTTCGCCAATGAATCCAGCCTAACAGGCCAAGAAAGAATCCATACCTGAGAAAAAACTGATCAAATGTCATCGTTTGTGTTAAGTCAATCAATGCTTGAACAAGCTTTGAAGTCCTTGCAAATGCTAACAGCCGAAAGGATGTGTTTCTAGGTGTGTATTTTAGGTGCCTATACCAATTTCACTGCTTACATGCTGACGGCAACACATGCAACATCAATACCATTATCATAATCATTGTATTCCAGTTGATATTCAGTTTCATTCCTTGTTATTTATTGCACTTCTTACACAGAAGGAATGTTTTTACAAATTAACCATGCAAAAAACAATCAATTAATTGCGATGAAACTCCCTGTGCGGTTAATTGTTGGTAATAAACAGTCCTTTTTAAAATTGTCGCTCATCTTGAACGAGCATGCCGGATATTGATCTCTTCGCTAGCCTATACGCTGGGCTGTTTGGGGTTTCACACGTGATGCAAAATATTTTAGTTCCTTTGCTCCTCTATGTAACTTTGATCCCATATGTAACATTGTATAGTCCCGTTCTAGTCCTTGTGAATCTTGTCACATTGTACCAGGCTCTTCAAAGGCCCTACACAATAATAATAATTATTATTATTATACTCACATGAGGTGAAAACGCTTCGATACATCGATGTCCCATTCAATATCTGACGCCGACGTGTCTCACATTTTCACCATCCCACGTCAGGAGTTGAAGAGTCAGCATGAAGTGTAAGTCTCAGCTTTCGTGATACCAACACAAGCTCTAAGGTGAAGAGAACATTAGAAGGATAACGTCTATGTGTATGTGAGTGTGTGTGTGTGTGTGTGTGAGTGTGTGTGTCAGCTTGTGTATGAAGACCTGTATGCGTGTAGGTGCTTATGGGTATGCTCAGGATATGATAAGATTGCCATGTGTCAGTTGATTATAGAATTCACATATAGATGTTTGACGTGACGAATTAGCAGAATGTGCCTCCACTTATTTAGGGAAACATAAATGCTACTGATTATAAAACTTACCTCCTACGGCAAGTTCTTGCTATTTGAATTATTGGCATTGACGTTGGACACTTTGTGTGCTTGGAAGGAAAATTACAGTTTTGAGACTTCGTGTTGTAAGTGAATCATGGATGACTGTGAATGGAATTCGGAGAGTAGCGTGGCCTCTGATGCACTCTCACCTTTGGCACCATTAGTCATATGGACCAGCAGAAGGTCTACTGCGTGTCCTTCACCGCCAAATATAGCAGCATCATACGGCACATCTTATGGAGCACATCACCACGCAAATGCTGAAAGCGGCAATCAAGGAGCGACCTCTGAATTCTCCTACGCATATTATCCTCCTCAGCGTTCCTCATTCAGCTCTTGCAACACATCAATATCTACCTCCGATGCCCTTCAAGATCATCCTTTGATGGGGGACGTGGCAGACAAGTTCAGGGAGCAACTACCAGAGTTCCAGAGAAATACAAATGCAAACGCTACTGAAATTTCAACAACAGTTGTAGAAAACCCATGCTCTTATCCCATGACGTCGGCAGTGGACACTGACAACAGATCGCAGGACAACAGTCACCAAACTACTACCTATCCCGTCTCAGTTTCAGATCACTACACAGGCCATGGTCAAGTAGCTTATGACTTGGAAGATGTGAATTGCTCAAGCAAGTCTGCCGATGTGGACTTTCACATCTACGGACGTATTCCAGTATCTCCTCTGTCGTCTAGCTTTTCTGAGGATCCTAAACATCACGATCTCCAAGCGTTCAACAATATTCCCACCTCTGAGTCCTTTTCGGAGGAAGATTGTCAACTTCAAATTGACCTTTCTCTACCTGAAACGTTGCTCAGCAAGGAAATAGATAAGTCACGCGATCGCCAGCATGATAATTCGTTCACTTGTAAAGTGTGCGATAAAACCTTCAGTAGGCGATATAATCTGACCCGACATGAAACGGTTCACTCAGGTGTGAAACCTTTTACGTGCAAGTACTGCGCTAAGTCATTCCGTGATAAATCCGGTCTTACCCGTCATGCACGTGTCCATACCGGGGACAAGTCGTTTAAGTGTGATCACTGTGATCAAATGTTCACCGAAAATTACAGCCTACGAGTTCATGAACGTACGCATACCGGAGAGAAGCCTTTTCAGTGTAAATTATGCGGCAAGGCATTCACGCAAACATCACATCTCAGAGATCATGAACGCATCCATACTGGAGAAAAACCGTTCAAGTGTAAAGTATGTAACAAGGCATTCAGACAAAAATCAAATCTCACACGTCATCAACCCATACATTCTGGAGAGAAATAATGTTTGTGCAAGGAAAGTGGAGAGCCTGTCCATAGAAAATCCAGCCTCGCAGCACATGCACGAACCCATTCCTAAGAGATAGGGATCATGTGTCAACGATCGTGGCAAATCTTTCGTTGCGAAAAACTCTCTTTGAAAGATTAAGAACGGACAAACACTCTTAAACAGAGGCTTTTTGAAAATCATAGGAAATCACGAATTTTATGTCCGTTTTGAATCGTTAGTAAACTCAATGCCGATGAGAGGCTGATCTGATCTGCATTTTAATACCCGCTTGCTTACACGCTGAATTCACCAATAATAATAATGTGTAACATCAAAAACATTATTTTGTGCCATTGTATTTAAGCTGATATGTACTATTTTATTCCATGTTGTCCTTTGCACATCTTACACAGACGGAGCGTATTTCCATTGTAACTAAGAAGCCCTTTCGAATGTCGAATGCTAGTATACTACTTCAAGAGCACGTACGCCTGGTATGGATATTTGCGGTTGCGGAGGAGATCTGCTGTGTTCAAGTTCGCGTCTAACGCTACAATTTTTCGGTCTGTATATATCTTTTTGGTCCCATGTGTAATATTGTATAGTCCTGTTCTAGTCTTCGCCCGTCAAATTTTCTAATACTATCTCAATGTTCATTTGCTTGATGAAAATATACGAAAGGTATAATTGACTATCACCACCAGGACTCCAACCCAGACACTGGATGATACCCAGCAATGCTCTAACACTGAGCAATGGTGTAGTGGTCATCCAAGCAGCAACCATTCAACACTTTCTTCTGACTTCGAACTTCACGCTTCCTGTGAATTCGCACTGGCTGGTGGGACGGAGTTCTCACTGCAACCCACACACTCACAAGTGTCAGCTTTTGTGATCCCAAAACAAGCGCTAAGGTGAAGAGAAAAATGGAAGGATAGTGCGCGCGCGTGTGTGTGTGTGTGTCAGCTTGTGTATGAAGACCTGTATGCATGTACATGTAGGTGTTTGTGCGCATGCGCAGGATATGATACCATGTGTCAGTTGAATATAGACAAGTAGCATACATATCGTGTATTGTTGTACTAATTGTTTTTTTTACATAGGATTGAACTCATAATACTCATTGGGTTGATATCTTCGCAGGAAAAGTGTTGGTTCCCCACAAGGGGACTCGCACTTTCCGCCGACTGACTTGATACGTGACTGGGAAGTGGTGATATCTTGCAGGTTTGCTGGGTGGAATGTTCGATTCACGTCTCGTGTGCTCTTGGTGGCAGTCGTGAGTCAATCAAGTGTCAAGTCAGTGTTTCGCTATGAATTCATGACCTAAATGCCAACACTATCTCGTGTTGGTATATTCCTCACTTCTATCTCCACCAAACTTTGCTTCAAAACAATAATTATAAAAATGACAGCTAGAAGAGAAATATGTGACGCGTGGTAACACCTTTGGGTCTTGCACTGCGCTCGCAGTTCATTCTTTTTTCTTTTTTTTCATTGAGTTCAATAGAACAAGAATACTACATGTACAGTTGAACATCGATTATCCGACCACCTCTGGGCAGACAACTGTCAGGCGGTGTTCAGATAAGGCAAATGTTCCGGATAAGAAAAAAACTGTCACTCACACACTTTCAGTGGTTATTACTAGCCGCACGACCTTTTTACTTTTTACTTTTCAAAATTTTCGTATTTTTTGAATGGCTCACTACAGGCACAGTGCGTACTCTACGGCACGTGCGCCCAAAAAAACTGTTACGGATAATCGAATGGTCGGATAGTCGATGTGCGGATAATCGATGTTCAACTGTATATCAGTGCTAAGAACTGAGACTAATGTTGAAGATCATGTCACATTTTCCAAAGCCTAACTATGATATTTCACAGAAGGCGAGAGAACCTCAATAAAACGATGCTTCAATTGATACCTAACAACAAAGAGTCTCATATTGCACAATCTCAAGTCTGGTGTTGAAGAGTTGGCATGATTATGAATGTTCCAAATGTTGTGATTCCAAGTTAAAAGTTGCGGTGAAGACGAAATTTGAGCGAGAGTGTGTGGGTTGGGTGTTGTATTGTATGTGATTGAGTGTTTGCGCATGATATCACAGGATTTTGTTATTATCATAGCGTGTTACGTAAGAGGAGAGTACTACAAATGGATGTGAATGGTTTTGACGGGACACTGTTCGACTGTACTTAGTAAGGGGGACCACCAGCTGCTACTAATTACAAAACCGTTGGCTACAACTAGGGAGAGTTGCCTCCTATGGTACCTGCGCTCCTGCTACTTCCAAGTCTTTCTATTTGTTGTTTTGAAATAGGATATTTCGCATTGTTAGAAAGGATAATTACGGTGGTGAGGATTGTTGAAGTACGTAAATCATGGACGATTGTAACTGGACTTCTGAGGACAGTGTTGACTCTGATGCTTTTTCAGCACTGCCTCCATTAGTGATATGGACCAGCAGAAGCGCAGTTGCGTGTCCTCCACCGCCAACTGCATCAGCTGATAGTATACCTCACTCAGCTCTTCAAAACGCAGGGATCGATTTATCCTGGTTCGCATCGCAGTTTGCGAATCAAAATTCACTGGCTGCGATTCGCTTTTCGTTTTTTATCGCCCAAAACTGCGATGCACTACAAAGACCAGTTGTGTGCAGTCTACATGCGACTGATGTACACACTGCTGACTAGGGAGTAGTATTTTACTACTCCAACCAACTGGCCTGTCCTGCTCAGTCCGCGCGGGTCGCGGACTCGCGGATCGCGCTCTTTCGATTTTGGACACTGCACTAGCACTGGTCGTACATGACTGCAGTCTTCTGAAGTTTTGTACACGGCGGTGACTTTTCCTGATGTTCTTCTTTCACTGTCAAGCTCAGTTTGTTTCTGTTCGACAAGGCACAGTTGAAGTAGATGGTTCTTAGTCTCATGTAGCCAACATGTCAGTGAATCTGATCAGTGATTCACTGCCCAGAAGAGGGACAAAGAACTGGACGCGCCAGGAATGTCGATTCGTTTCGATGAAGAAAAGCGAAATTCGATGCGCTTTGCACGAAATGTCCCGATCGTTTGAGCGCTTTCCTGAGGTTTCTTTGTCGAAGGAATCAGTGGAACTGCCCTGTTGAAAGACATTGTGTTGTGAAGAACTCGAAGACGGATGGACGCTGAACATGTAACGTGCCCAAGCGAAAACTCTAACGTAAATATTCAGGTTGAACATTCGCTTGGAAAAGCAAATAGCAACTGCAGCTATTGTCCTCTTCTTTACGAAATCCTGCTATTGTACAGCTATACATGTAAACTTTTGATGAAGGAAAATTGCTAATCAATACTGGGAGTTGCTAGTCAATTGTAAAACTGTGTAGCAGTGACTGCTATGCAAAAAAATCAAAGTAAATCGATCCCTGTAAACGTATACTTCAATAGTGGCAATCAAGTAGCCACATCAGAAGTCTTCTCTCTGCATTATTCTCTTCAAAGCACCTCATTCAGCCCTTGGAATACACAACCATCTTCCTCCGGTGTTCTTCAAGATCATGCACCCATGGACATGGTGGCACACAACTCCAGGGACCCTCGACCAGAAATCCAGAGGAACAAAGATACAAAGCCCAGTGATGCTTCAACCACAGCAGTCTAAAACCCTTGCTCGGATCTCTTGACATCGGCAATGGACAAACATCAAACTAATACCAGTTACCCAACTGTTAACTGCCAGCTCGAAATCGTTTCAGATCACTACACAGGCTATGGGGAAGCACCGCTTCACTCGGAATATAGCAAATACTCCAGAAAGGATGCCAATGTGGACGTCCATGCAGGGCATGTACACAATTTCGCACATTTTCCAATATCTTCCCAAGCGGCTAGCTCATCTGAGGATCCCTGGAGTCAGGACCGTGAAAAGATCAACAATCATCACACCTCTTAGCTGTTTTCTCTTTCAGTTTATCAACTTCAAGCTGCCGCTCGTCAACCAGAAATTACACTCTGCCAAGAAGCCGACAAAGCGCTTGATCGGCATCCCGATAGGCTTGATCGTGGACATTCACATCCAGGAGAAAACCCATTCAAATGTAAGCAATGCGATAAATCACTTTCTACTCAATCTTGTCTAACTTCTCATGAATGTACACATCCAGAAGAGAAATATTTCAAGTGTAAAGTGTGCGATACAAATTTCACTAATGTACGTAATCTTACCCGTCATGCACGTGTCCATACCGGGGAGAAGTCGTCTAAGTGTGATCACTGTGATCAAATGTTTACCCAAAATTACAGCCTACGAGTTCATGAACGTACGCACACTGGAGAGAAGCCTTTTCAGTGTAAATTATGCGGCAAGGCATTCAGACAATCACAGCATCTCACAGATCCTCAACCCATCCATACTGGAGAGAAGCCATACAAGTGTAAAGCATGTGGCAGGGCATTCCGCACAATATCCCATAAATATTACTGTAGTACAAATCATCAACTAATCCATACTGGAGAGAAGCCATTTTCGTGTGCGGCATGTGGAAAGTCCTTCACTCAGAAATCCAGCCTAACACGTCATGAGCGGATCCATCCCTGAGAGAACCTCATCAAGGGTCAACGATCGTGACAAGTCTCTTGATGCGAAAAACAGCATGGAAGACCATGCAAATGCTAACACCGCAGGGATCGATTTATCCTGGTTCGCATCGCAGTTTGCGAATCAAAATTCACTGGCTGCGATTCGCTTTTCGTTTTTTATCGCCCAAAACTGCGATGCACTACAAAGACCAGTTGTGTGCAGTCTACATGCGACTGATGTACACACTGCTGACTAGGGAGTAGTATTTTACTACTCCAACCAACTGGCCTGTCCTGCTCAGTCCGCGCGGGTCGCGGACTCGCGGATCGCGCTCTTTCGATTTTGGACACTGCACTAGCACTGGTCGTACATGACTGCAGTCTTCTGAAGTTTTGTACACGGCGGTGACTTTTCCTGATGTTCTTCTTTCACTGTCAAGCTCAGTTTGTTTCTGTTCGACAAGGCACAGTTGAAGTAGATGGTTCTTAGTCTCATGTAGCCAACATGTCAGTGAATCTGATCAGTGATTCACTGCCCAGAAGAGGGACAAAGAACTGGACGCGCCAGGAATGTCGATTCGTTTCGATGAAGAAAAGCGAAATTCGATGCGCTTTGCACGAAATGTCCCGATCGTTTGAGCGCTTTCCTGAGGTTTCTTTGTCGAAGGAATCAGTGGAACTGCCCTGTTGAAAGACATTGTGTTGTGAAGAACTCGAAGACGGATGGACGCTGAACATGTAACGTGCCCAAGCGAAAACTCTAACGTAAATATTCAGGTTGAACATTCGCTTGGAAAAGCAAATAGCAACTGCAGCTATTGTCCTCTTCTTTACGAAATCCTGCTATTGTACAGCTATACATGTAAACTTTTGATGAAGGAAAATTGCTAATCAATACTGGGAGTTGCTAGTCAATTGTAAAACTGTGTAGCAGTGACTGCTATGCAAAAAAATCAAAGTAAATCGATCCCTGCACCGTAAACAGAAGGCGACCTGTTTCGAATGTTATGGCAAATGCTACTGATAGGTCCGTTTCGAACCGCAAGTAGCGTAACGATCTTTTACAGCCCAATCTGATATCGATGCAAAGTGCACTGCTTCTAGGCCAACTTCCACATATGTGTTGTGAACCCTCTAAGATTCTCTAAATTGTCAGGATCGTACGACCACACGGCACGAGGACAACTCTTTTCTTCTCAACAGTATATTTCACTTCATCGAATAATTAACAATGAACACTAATAACACCAGCTATTTATAGCATGCAAAACAGCGTACAGGCAAAAACATACGCATTTTAAATGGGACATAACAGCTTTTGCAGTAAAAACGCACACAGCGCATATAGCGTATGCTATGCGCCATTAGCGGTACGGCGGAGTCGAAATACAACATTGCAATGAATACAATGCCATAAGCGCCAAGGCCTTTCCCACTTGAGAACTGGTGGTTTGCAACAATATGTAGCATTACAAACATTACCATTATCATTGTATTCCTGTTGATATTCACTGGTTCATTCCTTTTTATCCATTGCACTTCTTACACAGAAGGAAAATGTTTCCATATTTACCATGCATTAAAACCTCTATTTCGCTTAACAATCCTGTATGGTTTAATCAGTCCAGTTTTGTAGTCGGATACCCTACTTCTGGAGCAAGCATGCCGCTTATGGATGTTGTCGCTGGAAGAGGCGCTGTGTTGTTTTCAAGTTCGCACATGATACTAAAATGTTACGTATGTACATGTATGTACCCTTGGTACCCTGTTCAAAATTGTATGATAACATTTTTTTCCTTATCAATACTCGTGAATATCTATCTCACTGTTCAATTGTTTGATGGAAATATGTGAACGGGAAATTTCCGTTCACTACCAGGACTCAAACCTGCAGCACTAAGTTTTGACCAGCAAATTCTTTTCTCTATTCATATTTTGTTGAGCTTGAAGAAAGATATTGTATCAAGCAATGCTCTAACACAAAGGTATGTTGCAGTGGTCTTCAAAGCAGCTACTGGCCAACACTTGCCCCAAGTAGTTCAGTAGGGGTAGGTTGCACTTTTTGAAGCTCCCGTAATTCTTTTTTGGTAGAGCCCAGCCGGCATCAGGCCGGACTGGAGGTAGTTTCCGTAGGGTAGCAGTAAGGTTTTTTAGTAGTGCTCGTAGAAATTGGTGATCTCCGCCATGCCTGGGGCCACCACGAGAACAAACACTCGCGCGACTGCCCTGAGTGATGAAGAGCTGAGGCTGATGGCGTCGTTGCCGGGCATTGAGGTATCTGTAGTAGAAATCCTGAAAACATTGGCCGCATTTGTCTCGGAACCGGCTGATCGGGAGACGCGCCTAAACAAACGGGTTGACGAGCTGTCAAGGCAGCTCAAAGATGTGAATGAAGAGTTAGTGTCTCTCCGAGAATCCGCCATTGCCTTGCGAAAAGCTACCCCAAGGCCAGTTCAAACACAGCAGGGTACGGGTGCGGATCAACCTTCGCTTCGGCGTACCAAAGCAGGCAGTGCGGGTACTGGTACTCGAAAGCATGACACCACGATGTCCCGTAGCGTCCCCAGCAACATTTCCCGTAGCGGTGACGAGTGTGAAGAGGATGGCAGCGTCCCCTGCAACATCTCCCGTAGCAGTGACGAGTGTGAAGGGGATGGCGACCAAGATGCCATCCCCACCAAGTCCCAGACAGATGTGACAGAATCCAAGCCAATCTTCCATGTTATTGAGGATGACTCATGGAAGCTTGTCTCCTCAGAACGACCCAAAAACAAGCGTGCTGTGGTGTATGTGGGCAATATCGCCACAGATAGCACTGAGAGCCACTTCAGGCAATTTATCAAAACCAGGAGTGAGTTTCTGGGCGCCTCCATTCCTGTCCACACCTGCAGTGTATGGCTGTCAGAAAGTGGGCGTGCTTCCGCAAGAGTGACCATCGATGCCACTTCACTCTCCACAGTGACAGCGCCCAACTTCTGGCCAAGGCCCGTATACTGCAGGCCATGGAGGTTCTTAGAAACCAGCTCTGAGGGCAGCACCAGCAGTCGCAACCACAGCAGCAGAAACAGCACCTCTGCCAGTGTTCTGACTAAACAGCAACAGCAACAACAGCAGCCGGGCTCAACGTCCTCCTCCTCCCCGCCGCCCCCACCACCGCCGCCACCACCACCGGCAGACTTCATCTCCACTCCACTACACAGTGGCCAAAAACGGAGAAACTCCCACCTTTCCCCACCAGAGGCTGGAGACCTGAAGAGATCGAACGGATCTGCGCCACAACATGACCAGCATGATGCGCAGCCACCCCAGCAGGATGCCCAGTCCTCCCATGCCCAATGATGGATTCCAGACCTCTGCGACTGCTAGTGACTAATGCATTCAGCCTGAGCAACAAGATAGGTGCCCTGCAGCATGCAATCCTGCAGTATAATGTAGACGTGGCAATAGTAACAGAAACGAAGCTCTGCTCAGATAATTCCTCCCATGAGTTGACCATCCCAGGATACTCACCCCCTATAAGGAAGGATCGAGATGCCCATGGTGGCGGTGTGGCAGTGTGGGCTAGGAGTGAACTATCCATTACCCACCACGACGATATAGATTGCCGTGATCACGAGCTCTTATGGATTTCCCTGGCAATGCACTCCGGAACAAAGACTGTTCTGGGTGCGCTCTACCGGCTTGGCTCTTGTGCAGAGACAGACACCAGCCTGATGGACTACCTAGACAACACATTGGATGATGTCCGCCGTCTTGGCAGCAATGTGATAATTGCAGGGGACTTCAACGTGCATAATTCCATCTGGCTACAGAGTAGCAAGACTACCCGAGCCGGTGAAAGCCTGGAGGAAGTCTGCGCAGCACATCATCTTGTCCAGCATGTCACCCAGCCAACCCGCGGCAACAATACTCTCGATCTTATCATCTCCGATTTCTCACACCCCGTATGCACCACAGCCTATGCACCACTTGGACGATCTGATCATGCCGTTATCATTGCCGAGTTTCTCCAACAGCATCCACGACGCGAAGATCCTGCTGTTCGACAGGTTTGGAAATACGCCCTTGCTGACTGGCACCGCCTGAGAGCCTATCTCCGCAACATAGACTGGCCCGCCAAGATCCATGGGTGTGCGGAGCAGTCCTGTCAGCGCGTAACTGATGTCATCATGCATGGAATGAAACAGTTCATACCATCCAAAGAGCTTGTGGTGCACCAATCCAACCCTGTATGGTGGACACCGGACTGCTCTAATGCCAATCATGCCAAGGAGCGGGCATGGAAGCTGTGGAGACGCAATCCCCGCAACGATAACCACAAGGTCCAGTACATCACAACTGTTAACCACGAAGTGGAAGCGTGTCATGCAGCGCGATTAGCACATCAACGTAGAATTCGCAACAAGCTTACTGCAGGTTCCCTCCGGGACAAAGAGTGGTGGTCAACCATCAAGAGCGCAGCAGGCAAGGGACGTTGCTCTGACATCCCCCTGCTGACCAACTCTGCAGGACAAGAGTTCCACTCTTCTCGTGAGAAAGCCGAGTGCTTTGCAGCGCATTTTGCGAACAAGTGTAGCCTTGGCAATAACGACCTCTGTGCTGCTGACCTGCCTGACCTGCAACGACCTGCCTATGCCACGCTAAAGCACATTCACTTCCGCGCAGCAACGGTCAAACGGCACTTGGCGAACTTGGCTGTATCAAAAGCAACTGGACCGGATGGCATCTCTGCTCGTGTGCTCAAGATGTGCTCATCTGAACTTGCAGACCCACTGGCAAAGCTCTTCGCCCTCTGCTTCTTAGCCTGTGTGCAACCTGGGGCATGGAAACTTGCCCATGTAGTCCCAGTTCACAAACGGTCCTCCAGATCTTTGGCATCTAACTACCGACCAATATCACTGCTAACGATCATGTCGAAAGTCATGGAGGGCATTGTAAACACGCAACTGGTTAACTACCTAGAGAAGCATGAGGTGTTGCCAAACAGCCAGTTTGGATTCCGACGTGGTAGAGGAACCG